TTTGTTTTACACTTTTCTTTTCATCGATTTGTTGGGTGTGATTCAGGACTGGACTAATTTATTTATTATTATTATTTTTAAAGTCGGGTTAATATGTATGAAAAATAAAACAATTCACACAAAATTTTCTTTTTTACCCTTAAAATTTTTAAATGGGCTTGGGGGACTGGGCTGGGCTTAAATCCGCCCCTGATTGGGTGTGCTTACAAGTGTTTATAAATATTGGAGTTTACTATTTTTTGTGGCTCAATATAAGCATATGCTTTTCATGCTTTGATCTAAAACTTTTAGCAATAGTTCAGAGTTCAATACTTACCTTATGTGCGGAAATTTAATATGTGAGGTCTTCCATAAAATGTTGAATTCGGTCTTCATGTGTTAAATACTTGCGATAAATAAATTGTTTCTTTTTCAAAAATCCGCCTTTTGGTTTGGCCATTGCTTTTTTTGGCCAAATCTTCTCGAGTGGAGTAAAAAATGAAAAATAAAAGCTTAGAGGAGGAATATGATACTCTACTTCCTGCACATGCAAGTAAAAAGTAAAATGAAGTTAACCGATCTATAAGACCGATCGATATCTTATGAACAAACAAACACACACTAATTGTCGTGTTTCCTCTTCTTCGTATTTTGCATAAACACGTGTGGTCATATACTAATGAGTTTAGGGCAATAAGATAATCACACTTTTCATTAACCTCACAGGGTCAAACCACCATCTTTCATGGTTCTAAAGTAATGATTTTGACTTGAAAAATGCTATCCATCCCCAGTAGGGATGCATCCCCAATCTATGTGAATGTAAATAATTGGTTAAATGATAGGTGAAATTAAATGACTTATTTAATTTTACCTATCGTTTAATGCCACATTAGCGCCACATAGATTGGGGATGCATCCTCAGTGGGGATGAATATCATTTCTCTTTTGACTTGGGACAGTCTTAAACCCCTTATTATGAAATCCCAATTTTTGATTTTCTAGTTGGACAAGGGGGCAAATGATGTGAGTTTGGCACTAACAATTTCTCGTCCATCGAGTACATTTGACATTTTTTGAGGTTGGTATTAAGATTTTGACTGGGTTGTACTAATTAAGACCCTGTTTGGCTTGGATAAAAGTCAATTTTTAAAATAAATTTGTATAAAAATGAATGAAATGTGATTGAAAAATCGATAAAAAATTATAGATTCCATAAAATATGTGGTTGAATATGAATTTTAAGAAATAGAGGCTAAACATGGACTATGTATTTTCTCTCCCATCTAAAGTAAGAATTTTATTACGTCCTGCCTATAGTAAGATTGTTTAGATTTACACTTTGATTAGAAACCAAAAATAAGATTATTTTCCATTCAAATCATGAGGTCTAATCGAAAATCTTCCAAG